TAAAAGGTGAACTATAAAGCCTAGTAAGAAACTTCAAATGAAAAATACTGGCTTGAATTTTTTTCTATTCAAAGAAAACAAGCAAACAAAAGGACATACCAAAACTTTTCATCTTGTTAATCCTTGGTTCTGGTTGGATACAATTTTGCCAGGCAGGCAGTATATAAAGTAGATTGTAAAAATCAAATAATTGAAATATTATCAATCAAGTTAAGCCAAAGCATACCAAATGCAAAGGTTTCACAGTTCATATAAAAAAAGTCATTATCACAGTAACTCCACTTTATGTAACATTAAAACTTTAACATGCACCTACCTAGTTAGTCTTGGTCTCTTATTTGTAAGTAGTAAAATCATTGAAAAAAATTTTTTTGATAGTATATACGTAATAATATTTTTTAAATTTGAAAGATAGCCCAATAGCAAATAATTGGAAGTAAACTAAATACACATTAAAAAAAAAAAAAAAAAACAACTAAGTAACACAGGGCAAATTCCTAGACACTGGAATACTATAAGGTCATAAATAAGAGTAAGAAGCTTTGCACATGTGATCTCTAAGAAATGCTGTGAAGAAAAAGCAGAATGCACAATAGTGCATATGTACACTACCTGTTTAAAAGAGGTGGGAGGGAGAATTATATACACTTATTCGTTTACATAAGCAACACACATCCCTGGAGATAAACAGAAGACATGCAACTGGTGAGGGGAACAGAGTGCTTGGGGATAGGAGTGGGAGGGAGACTTTTCACTGAATACTAATTTACCCCTTTTCAGTTCAGAATCATGTAAGGATATCACCTACTCAAAAAAGTTAACAACACTAAAGATTAAGTGTCTGCAGCACTGCTTGCTACTATGGAGTATCTGTGATCTTTCTTTGGCTGCTTTAATTCTGTGTTTCCTTCTTCCTTGAGGAAACAGGGTCTAATGTGCCACAATGCAGTATACTTTTTTGGAAAGATTCAAGGACTATACTTACAGTTCCACCCATGTGGGGAGGCAGGTATTCTACACTGACATACTCCTGGATTTCATTTTTACTTGTGAACTTCAACAAACTCATTGCTTCTGGACCAAGCCACGTTTTCACAAGTTTGAAGGCCGCTAAAGGAAAAACAGTTAGTTCATTATTATTTTTTTAAAATTCTTTTCATCTTCTTTCCCAATTAATTTATTGTACGTGCTAACTCGGGTGTGCCGAAATGTCTTTGGGCTATCATGTAAATATTCATCTTTAAATAACATTTAAAGATGGTTTAAGTCTGCCCAGAGGTACGTAGGAAGCAAGACTTGGCAATCCACTTCCAAAAAATCAGACATTGAAAACCCTATGGAGCAGTTCTAGTCTGACACACATGGGGTTGCCATGAGTCAGAATCATCTCAATGCCAACTAGTTAGGTTTTTTTTTTTTTTTAATTCTCAATAGCCACCCACTGCCACTGAGTCTATTCCGACTCATAGCGACCCTATAGGACCCCATAGGGTTTTCAAGTCTGTAAATCTTTACAGAAGCAGACGGCCTCATCTTTCTCCCCTTGGAACAGCTGGTGGATTTGAACTACCAACATTTGGTTAGCAGTTGAATGCTTTAACTGCTACACCACCAGAGCTCCTTTTTCTAAATGCAGTTTTAAGAAAATAAATTGCATTAAATTTTCAAAAATGTCAATGAAAACAATTTTAGGAAATAATACAATAAACATTAAATAATTCAGGTAATTACATCTTGACTTTGGGTAACTATGCTTTCAACTTTTTATATAACATTAAAATTTTCATTTTAAAAAGGTTATGGTTGAAGCTATGCTACATGAATTAAAAAAATTACTAAATAAATAGTATTAAATAAATACTAAAAATGACTTTTTAATAATAGTTTTATTGAGGCATAGTTCACATACCATAAAAGCTACTCTTTTAAATGATACAATTCAGTAATTTTCAGTATATTCAGAGTTGTGCAACTATCACCACTTCCTAGTCCCAGAACATTTTTATCATGCCCAGAGGAAACCCTGCATGTACCCTTAAGCAGTCACTTTCTATACTTGCCTCACCCCAGCCCCTGGAAAACACTAATCAATTTTCTGTCTCTATCGATCTGCCAGTTCTGAACATTTCATATAAATTATACAATATGTGGCTTCTTCTGACTGGTTTTGTTCACTTAGCATGTTTCGAAGCGTCATTCATGTTGTACATTTCTATGGATGAATAAATACTCCTCTGCATGGTTATAAAACCTTTGTTTATCCAGTCATCAATCAATGGATATTTGAGTTGTTCCCACTATTGACTAGTATTGTGTTGAGGATTTCTGCATACATATTCATAAGGGATACTGATGTTAATTTTCTTTACTTATGACGTCTGAGCCTGGCTTTGATAATCAGGGTAATTGTGGTACCACGAATGAATTAGGAAGTATTCCCTCCTCTTCTATTTCTGGAAGTTACAGAAGGATTGGTGTGAATTATCTAAACACTTGGTAGAATTCACCAGTAAAGCTCTCTGGTCCAACAATTTTCTTTGTGGAATTTTCTGATTACTGACTCAGTATCTTCACTTGTTAAGAATTTATTGAGATTTTCTATTTCTTCATGAGTCAGTTTTGGTAGTTTGTATGTTTCTCGAAATTTGTCCATTTCATCTAGGTGTGGGTGTGTAGCTGTTCACAGTATTTTCCCTTATAATCTTTATTTCTATAAAATAAAGGTGGTAGTGATGTCCCTTCTTTCATTCCTGACATTAGTAATTTGAGTTTTCTTTTCTCCCTTGGTCAGTTTAGCTAAGGGTTTGTCAACTTTGTTAATCTTTTCAAAGAGTCAAATTTTGGTTTCACTGATTCTATTTTCTACTTAATAACTGATTCATGCAAGCAAAAATGAAAATGCCCAATCTGAATATAACATTAAACTTACAATCACTTTAAAGTGGGTAATAGTGTGTTTCTGACTTTTTTTTAATCACAATATATCAGGACTATCATAAAGATGACATGACTATAGTAATTTAGGGTCAATTTCCCATTTATCTAAGCTTCCAACTCAACACCTGAAGTCCGTCCGATAATCTGGCCAAAGCCTGTGTTCCAAGACATAACCTAGTTGTAGATGACAAACTGAGGCTTCTTGTCAGTTTTACCTGAGTAGTTGAATATTTTGAGGCTATTTTTACAGAACACTAGTGGGCCCTCTGAAATAGGGGAGAGAACACTAGCCAAGTTTTCTTAGGAATAGCCTTTGGGTGCTCCAGATTCTATAAGTGCATGCCAAGTACAATACGTTTTTTTTTTTTTTTTTAATTGCAGACACATGGCTACATTAGCAAAGAAAAAAGGAAAACCAACAGTTTCTTTTAGCAAAGTATAAATAAACTCACCATTCATTATCCAAGGCATATCAAAGATGACCAATTTTGCTAAAAGACATAAAAAAGAGAATTCACTGAATGTGACTTAGTACCTCTACAGTAATAATACTTAGGCCTGGCTTAGAAAAAAATGGGTCACTTATATGTAACTAAAAAACTGAGCTGGTCGACTGAATTCTAATTTACCGAAGCATAAGTGGTGCTAGAAGAAAACGAACATCTAGGATGGTCAAGGGCCCAACCAGGACGACTGCCTGTGGAAAATGAATACTATCACTGTTATCTGACAGTCTGTCAAATATACCATTTCTGTTTGCAGAAAGGTATGAAAGAAAGTAGTTGAGAGGGCAACTGGAGTCTGGATGTGGCATGTCCTGCTAGTCCTGAAGGCCCACAGTCATTAACAATCATTTCCAAGACTAATCTATGGCTTCAATTAAAATTTTCAAGACATATTCTTAAACCACTCTCACAGTGGCCCCCCTCCCCTTTTAATAAATTACTCATTATGTTTTAAGGAACAACAATTATTTCTACTTTTCTTACTATTATGAGCTCCAGAAAGCCAATAATACCAAAGTATACAGAAATAGTATGTGCTGAGATGAAGATATTAACAGCCCTGTTAACAACTGGGAGAAAGAACAAGAAACCACAAAGGAGATTTTTGATATCCAATTCATTCTTCTATCCCAGATGAAGCAAAATGTAATTTCATTCATCTCTGGGCACAGAACTTCCTAGAGTTTCTGTATTAATGTAGGACCAGTAAAGTACAGGCAGTTGCCAGATTATGAAAAAGTTCCATTCTTAAATCTGTCTCAAAGCTGAATTTGTACAAAAGTCAGAAGAGTTAAATATGTTTCATATGCAACTTCATTAGTCAAATGTTTGTCTCAGTACACAGTACACAGTACACAATGTACCCATCTATGTGTTTAAAAAACACTTCCAGATACATTGAAACATCTTTAACCTAATAACACTGCAACAATAATGTTTGGATCCACATAGCAAAGTAGAGCCTATGCGTTATTACAAACTATTATGTATACCTTGGCTTTCTAATATAACAGGCTTTATTTATAATAGGGGTTGGTTTGTAAGTAAGAGTTATACATTAGTCAGACATTCATAATTTAGGGACTACCTGTACATGGAATGAACACATTTTCTGCAAAGAGGTTCCCTGATGCTTAATATCTCAATCTTCACCTGACATATGCCAAGGAAGATCTGGGCTCAAGATTTTAAGATATTATATTTATATTTCATGACAGATTCTGAGGCAAAATCAATTTAAGATTCTACAAAATTCAATGTCTGTAAAACTATATTATGTAGGGGGAATAGATACATTGTTTCTAGTTGATGGAAATTATGGTGTTGACGAATAAAAACAACAGATCCTTCTTAAAAAAAGCGTAGCTAGAATGCTCCTTGGAAGTGAGGATGGTGAAATTTCATCTCACATACTTTGGGCATATTATCAGAAGGGACCAGTCCCTGGAGAAGGACATCATGCTTGGTAAATTAGAGGATCAGTGAAAAAGGTGAAGACCCTCAACGAGATGGATTGACCCAGTGGCTGCAACAACGGACTCAAGCATGGCAACGGTTGTGAGGATGACAAAGGGTCAGGCAGTGTTTCATTCTCAAATGACTCGAGGGCACCTAACCACATGTGGGGTGGCCTATTGATTTCTCCAGGGGATAAGCATCCTATAAATCCAACAAATAAAAAATGAACACATAATATTCAGGCATTCTTCATTCAGGTAATTAATGGAAGAGTCAGAATTAACAAAACAAAACCAAAAACCAAACTCCAAATGCCAGGTTCAGGCATAGTATTACCTTCTAGTCAAGTGTTTTCTTAATGGCAACTTTTTAAACAGCAATTAGGAACAGTATATCATGCAATGAACTTTATGTCAATACAGCTTATCACACAGTATATTTTAATTATCAATATTGCTTATCTGTTCTTATACACAAGTTCCATTTAATAAATATTATTTAAATAAATATATTTTTAGATTAGTAAAATAGCATAATTGTGAACATGTATGCTTTTGTGTCTGTGTTTGTGTGTGTGTTATATAGCATGCCAACTCTTAAAATTAACTGTAAAGCATAATGATTATTTATGAAGTATTTTTCCTCTTACCTCCTAGGAATTTACTTCTGTGAACACATTTAAAACACTTCATAGGAAAACAATGTTTCAGGTATAAAAGTCAGTAATAATACAAGACTCTACAATTCTCAGATGCTGTCTAGTTTCTAGATGTCATATCTTTTATAAAGGAGTAAGTTACTTACAGAGGTATTTAGGATAATAAACCTTAAAGCAGTTGATGATAAAGCGTACAAAGTCCATGTCCTAAAATAAAGATTATACATTAAAATTTTTAAACTGTCAACATCAGAGAACTTTAACTCACACATTTTATAAAAATGTTAAATTATTAAATCCAAATGAAACAATTTCGAAATATTTCAAAAAATAACCTCATACATAAACATTTATATTCTCAGGGAAGAAGGCTTTACCTCACCACACTACTAGAATAATCCCCCAAAACTGAGCTAAAGAAATCAGATGCTCAGTGACATTTCAACATCATTCAATGTTACCTCAACATAGTCACATGCTTCAGGCGACTAAGGCAATGTGGCAATCCCCATAGGGAAATTCTAAAAATCTAATGAGCCATTAAAGAATGATTGAAACCAGTATAGTTTACAAGCAAGCTACCTGGAATGGTAATACTGATGCATACGAAGGCTGACATATTTTCTTTTAAATTTTTTATGCCTCATAATAGCATCAATAAAATATATTTTATTAATCTTTTATACAGTGTTAATGTGATCATATCAGCTAACCACCTGCTGTGTCTATATTACTCCTGGCTTCCTAAACTTTTTTGTGTAGGGACGAGAATTAGTTTTCCAGTTTATATTCATTCAAGTGCTGTTCTGGGAGACTTTACAAACATAGCTGTCTAGGTAGTTCTTCTACTTGGAGTATGGTTTTTTGTTTGTTTGTTGTGTGCCATTGAGCCAACTCTGACTCACGGTGACCACATTAATGTGAAATCAGGTTCTCAGGGTTATTTTCACATGGATTGTTTCATTTCCTTTTGTTCCACGGCCAGAGGCTGATTAACTAATCCTGATCAGCCATCTTAAAGACTGTGGAATGAAAGATGTAACCAGGCACACGTAGATCCACTACACCTAGTGAGAGGTGGGTTTTCCTAGAGAGGAGAACCAATAAAGTTCATCCCTAGTGTGAGTTACAGCCTATTTAACTGCAGTAAACTGAACGTAAGCATCTTTAGCTCTTTTTAAGTATTTACTATGTGGGAAAAATCTTAGCATATAATTATACCTTTATAACTAATCATTAGTTCCACTGTCCACAGTGTTTAAGCAACTGCCAAAAAAGGATCTCAAAATAACTAGAGATATACAAAAATCTGGGTGACCCACTTTGTAATCTGTGGTTCCCAGACACTGTGCCTGAAACCTCTTTGTGTAATATCCTTGTATCAATCTTTTATGATTCTGGGTTAATACTCAGAGAATGATCCTACCCAAAGGATGACAATCATGATTTGCTTTTATGGAAATGTGTACCTTTCTCATCACTATTTATGTAGGCATTTTGATTTTGGGTGTAAAATGTTTTACTCTGTAATCTAAAAGCTCCTGAAACAGAAACTAGGTTTAAAAATGGTTGGGCCTTAGACTCTTGAAAAATAGAGAAATAGAAAGACAAACAACAACAACAACAACAAATCTGTGGTTTTAGTACCCAGGACTCTTGTTAACATTTCTCTCTAGTCTCTTTTTAAAAGGAGACTATGGCTTCCCTTTTTTGGACTATATATCATTAAGATAGCATCTTGTAGTTTTTCATTAAAAAAAAAGTTGTTGTTGTTGTTATGTGACGTCGAGTCGGACCCAACTCCTAGCGACCCCTCCTTGGGTTTCTGAGGCGGTATCACTACAGAAGTAGATTGCCCAACCTTCCTTCCAAGGAGTGGCTGGTGGGTTTGAACTGCCAGCCTTCCGGTTATCAGTCAA